ACGTTCTCGAAATATGCCGATAACTTAGTTGAAACGCTGTTCTCGGTGCTCCATGAAAAATTGCTTCCTTATGAGCAAATGCATCAAAAGCTGGCTGTGATGAGGAACCGTCTCAGGTCTAAAATATTTGATCGACTCAGTGAATTTATCAGGGATCAAGCTGAACAGTTTCCGGTCAAGGAAATTCGGAAGGCCATCGATGTTTGTATCCTTTATATCCTCCTGTATGTAATTTGTTGTTACATTCGAAGACCCATCTCATCACTTCACCGTAGTACGAAAACGGTTCCTTTATTGGTAAGTATTGGCAATAACTGTTCACTGTATTGTGCGCTTTCAGAGTTATCTGGATGATTTGGATCCGCAAAAGATGCGAGAGGAAAAGATGACACTGGAACCAATAACACGAGTTTTGGCAAAATTTGAAAATGGCACAGAAGGGCATACAGCATTGGTTTTGGACGATCTCCTTGGACACTACCACAAAAGCGAGGAGTTCTTCCAGGAACATCAGTATGACAAATGTGTGTCAAAGCTTCTTTTGAAGGTGAGCAGCTACCCTGGTGCAGTCATCCGTTCTTTTTTCTCCTCATTCCTTGGCTTCTAACGCTGCAGTTTGTTGCAGGTCAGTGACACTGAACGCTGCGTACGGATAATTTGTTCGCACACAAAGGTTAACGAAAAAAATTTGCTAGCGATGAAAATTCTGCGACGTATTAGTGATAATCGAAGTTTAATTCTGCGCTTATCGCCGGTGCTGGAGAAAATCGCTAGTTTGGCTAAAAGCGAGAATTTGGACTTGGCACATGCCGCTAGAGCTTTGCTGATCGAAGCAGAAACACCAACATATACTGAAATCAAAATAAGGGTACTTTTTCCAGTTTTCTTTTCACATCATCATGAATTATCTTTGAAAGTTGAGCCTCGTAGAATCAAGAGTGCTTAGGCTCAAATTCTTTTTGCAGGGATCCTCTCCAAGTCCAACAAATTTGGAGAAGTATGACATATTGTTCGAAACTTTTGATAGTAATTTCGATTCGGTGCTTAAATATGTGACTGTTTGTTGCGGCGTCCCAGAGGCTTCAATAAGGCGTTTGAATGATGGTCATCCTCATGATGTCCAGTTTCCAATTCCGATACGAAAAATTGCGTAAGTTTAGCATTTTTTTTTT